TTTTTTTTTTTTTTTGAGACAGAGTCTCACTATGTTGCCCTCAGTAGAGTACTGTTGAGTCACAGCTCAAAGCAACCTCAAACTCTTGGGTTTAAGCGATTCTCTTGCCTCAGCCTCCCAAGTAGCTGGGACTACAGGCGCCCACCACAATGCCTGGCTATTTTTTATGTTGCAGTTGCCATTGTTGTTTGGCAGGCTACGGCTGGATTCAAACCCTCCAGCCTTGCTGTATGTAGCCAGCACCCTGTCTACTGAGTTACGGGCACCACCTAAAAGCCCAACAACTTAAAGGTAACTCTCACTGACTAAAAATAAGCAGGGTGAGTATTTGATTTCTTCTGAGAATAAAGTGATTGAAAAGGAAAAATAGTACCAAAAATAAATAACTTACAATTCTTTGATCCACAGCTCTGCCTGGAAGAAAGTAGGACTATAGGTAGGAAAAGAAAAATGTGACAAATGAGCATGAGGCTTATAAGAAAACTCAAATATTTTCATCAACAAAAGTAATCATTTAAACAATTTATAAGACTGCTCTGTAAAAGTATGGGATAAAAAGACACCTAAATGACATAAAATAATTGGGAATTAAAGGAACACAAATGAGTCATTTGCATACCTATTAACTTTGATGACCCAAAGTACAAAAGAGAAGTGAAGTTTAATACAGCTCCTTACCTATGTGAAACCAGTATTATGTGAAAGAGTATATTGCTTCTCAAGATAATATATTAAACTAGAACATTACTCTAACGGTTCAGATTGATAGACATACTAAATATCTCCACCCACAAAATACTCATCAAATGGCTAAGCAGCCAACAAGCCAAAGCAGAGAATCAGAGGCACAACTCCTTCAAAGATAAGAGGCCAATTCCAGTCCATGTAGCTCTTGCTGACAACCCAAATGAATAAGGCTTAGCAGAGTCACAATCAGTTAATCGTTCTAGGGCTTCTTGTTTTTCTCAAACTTCTTTTAAACCCCTTATAAACCCCTAACTAACGGATCTCTCACAGAAACAAATAAAAGAAGTATGAATGCTTTCCAAAGAAAACTTTTAAAGACACACAGCAGGTACATATTGGGACTGAAGAGACCAGAACCTCCCAGAGGTGTCCTTAATTAGCTTTATGACTCAAATCACTTCACTTTTATGAGCCCTGGCTTCTGCATTTGTAAAATGTAGTGATCAGAGTCCCTCTGGGTTCTTAAATCTCTATAATCTGTCCTAGTGAGGGCAAGGAAAAAGGCTCAGAAGGCCTTCACTCGTTTTATGAGTAAAACATAACAATCTGACAAACCTGTAGGTTGTGGGGTTAGCAGATTTACATTTTCTGGAGGCTAAATGGACAGCCTTGTTGCATTTAGCAGTTTGCAAATGGTTCTGGATGAATTCAGCGCCAAGCCCATCTCTGTGTGCCTGCATCCAACTGTGATGAGCCTGTGTATGTCAAGTTGGTGGAGACCCTTTATGCTGAACACCAAATCAACCTAATTAAGTTTGATGACAAGAAACCAGGGGAATGGGCAGGCCTTTGTAAAACTGGGAGAGAAGGTAACCCCATAAAGTGGTTGGTTGCAGTTGTGTAGTAATTAAGGACTATGACAAAGAATCTCAGGCCAAGGGTGTCATCAAAGAGTACTTAAAATGCAAGAAATGAATAAATAAAACTTTGGCTCATGTTCCTTAAAAAAAA